GGAGCTTTCAAAGTTCACAGCACCCTTGGCAAGGCAGGGGATGGCTTTGGTTACATGCTGCAATGGTTTGCAACAAAGCAGATCATTTGTATTGCATGCATGTCTATAGGCACTGCATGCCTGCGTGCATTGCTGATCTCCATTCTGGGCAAAGCGGCTGTGCTATGCCAGTCTCTGTAAAATCTGGCTGAGCCTGATCGAGTCCCTGGTTTGTCAGTGATGGAACTGGCCAGCCATTTTGCCACCAGTAGTCTGGTGGCATGTTTTTTTGCCATTTCTTTCAGCCTTGGGGTGGTCGCGCAACCATCTCATGCTTGCAGAGGAGATGATTTCGCTATCCATTTTGGTAGTTTTTCGGCAACTTCAAGCTCTTCAAGGGTTTGACATGACAGCTGGACTTGGGATCAGGTGGGCTGGCGCGGCCTGTGACGGCTGCGATCATCGGGGAGGGAGCCGCTGTTTGTGAGCGACCTACCTGTCTGCCACAGGGGCATTGAGCCTCAACATGAACGATAACCTTAAGCTTACTACCTTAACATCAACGTTAACATCAATGTGTTGGTGTTGTTGGTGCTGTTGTGTGTCCAGGGAAAGCTCAGGCCTGAGGCCAGCGTGTTGGAACTGATGGGGGGATGTGGCGTATTGTCGCTTGTGAATCAGGTCCAGAATCGGCAGAGGTGCAAGAAAAATCATCCATCAGGTGGCCACAAAGGATGGACGAGTAACTAATTGAATGTTAGATACTTGAGGCACATGCATCTTAAAATTATCGTTGTCATGACATGGCTACGTTCGCTCGAGTCGAGTCGGCTCGAATGAAGCGTTTCTTTTGCTTTCGGACTGCGATCTTTGCACCATGCAGAACACACACTTACTGTGACAAGGTCAACAAGTTCTCGAACAACGAGATTCCGGAGGAGTTCAGCACCGGTGTCCTGCCAGCATTGCAGTGAAGATTCGTTTTCCGGAGAGTTGACGGGCTGTACAAGTTGCAGGAGCTGTTCATACTGGAACTTGCATGCGCTGTTCATTTGGAGGTTCTTGTTCAGTCGCTCAGTAGCTGCAGCAAGGGAATATTGTCAAATGTTTTCAGAACCTGTCATCTGTTCTCAATCCGCTGCACAGCTTCTTGAACGAATAACAACTTACTCTCCATATCAAGCTTGCTCCAGTCCGTGTCTTGCCTTGTTGCGGGTGGCATCCATTCATGTAACTGCAAGCGCGGTGTCTTGTTGCCGCTGTGTCAAGGGACGATGTTTCTTCACTGCGCAATATAGTTCATTGGGCAAGCTACCGGCTCATGCCAAGCTGCCAAGAATTCATTTGAGCCCAAAGCCGCAGTAGCCTTGAAACTGCCATTCTAAGATTCCTGTCGGCATGACGATTTGGGATCTCTGGATGGAAACATTGGCAGGGGACATCCACAAATAGTGTTGGACCGTAGTTTTTCTCGTTTGCTTGGCGAGCGCATGTTGCAGGACATCGGCCGTGGTTGTAAGGTGCTATGCAAGGGTCCAAAAACAGTAAAATTGAGTGCTACTTGTACCTTGGACTCCAGGCCTGAAAACTCCGCATCCCGAAACTTACAGAATCCTTCTCAGAGCCCAGAATTCCATGAAAAATCCTGGAATCGCAGGTGTCACGACTGGATGGCCAAGCCTGGATGCATTGTACCGCCCAGTGCGTGGTGAGGTGACAGTGGCTTCTTGGATGATTCAACAACGGGCTGGGTAAAGTTGCTGAATTCTGAGGTCAGAATTAACTAGTCCGTGTTCAGGGAAACGTCCAGTGAGCCAACAACATTGGGTGCTGCATCACTGGGGGTGTTTCCTGAACCGCTGGAGCGGGTTTGAGCGTTTGAGGGTTCGGTAAAGCATTCGGAGGAGTGGCTGGTTCTTAGTAGGGAAGAAGGGAATGAGGTACCCTATATAATCCTTGCAATGGTTTTGGTTTTATGTGAGCCCGGCAGCTTTGGGGTTTAGGCGTCCGTTACTTTTTAATTTTAACGCTACGCGACCCGCCTCGGCCCGGCCCAGCGCATCCGCGTGAGCATGGCGATTCCGCAGCGCCCAAGTCGCTGGACCCCAAGCAATAAGGGTTGGGTTTAGGGTTTAGGGTTCCGGGTTTATGGAGGGGGGTGCCTGTTCTCACAACCTATACACCTCCGGCCCGAGGCCTCGGCGGATACCTCTTGTAAACTAAATGACAAATAAGTTTTCACATAGAACTCATAATGTATTACATTATATCCAGAAGTTTGCTAGTCCTAGTTTTTTAATGTAATAAATGTGTGTTGCCTAAACAATTTCGCGTGTTCCTTCCGCTTCATACGTTCTTTTGTGGCACAGAATCGCATGATTTTATAATTGGTTCCTACAACACTCATTGATTTCATGTGATCGGCCCAAACCTTTAACTTCATGCAAGAAGAAGAGTCTGGCCCTACACATGTTGAAATCTGAGGTGACTGGCACCCCTGGCAGCGGAAAGTCTGAGTTCCTGTTTTCTTTGGCCTTGAACTTGGCTCGGACTCACGGCTGGAGGCGGGAAGGATGGGCACCTGCACCATGTTTAGGGTTTAGGGTTTAGGATTTAGCGTTTAGGGTTTAGAGTTTAGGGTGGATTGCGGATTGCTGCTTCGACCTCTCCGGCATGCCAAAGACATGAAGGCAACAGGGAGTTAAAAGGGCAAACCCGCAATCCTGGCATGCCAAGAATGCCATTTCCAGATCTCTTGAAGGTTTCACTGTGTGCCTTTCGAGCACAAGCAGAGGGACTGGGCAGTACAGATGCTGGAGAAGATGCACGAGGCGATGGCATGCGATTGCCCCAAAATTGCTTTGCTCCTGCTTTGAACGGCTGATTGTTCGTGAGTTGGTTTTTGGGTCGGTTTGATAGCCATGACAGCTATACGACGTATGCTTTCTGGTGGGCACTTTGTCAAGCACAGGTGCAGGCCAGAGATCTGAGAAGCTGCTCCCTGGGCCTAGACAGTGACGCTGACTTCCTAGCAGCATGGCTTTGTGATGCTTTTGGAGGGGCGGAGGGGCGAAGTCTGTAGTGCTACAGCGTTGGGAGCGCTAGGATTGGGTGTAGGGCTTTCCGATTCAGGCGTTGACGGTGTTCAGGCCCAGCTGTGGGGCTCAAAGATGGCCGCCGTTGCACCCACGTACTCCGCACTTCACGATTTTCCTAGCACGATTTCCCTTTTCATCTCACCCAGAGAGCACACCTGCCGGCAGACGCTTGACATTCCGTAGCTGCATGGCACAGCTGTGTGGCACACATCTCGGGAGAATGTGACACAATCCTGGGGGACGCGGGGGAGCGACACGTTGGCACGACAAGACGCTTTGATTTCACAAGCAGCTGCGATCTTTCCGCCGCACCCCAGGCAGATCACTTCACACGTTCCGGCACGTTTTCCGAGGACGCATGCTCCCGTGGGGTTTGGGTGTGAAAGTTTGCGGGTTGCGGGCCATTAGCCTGATGTGAGGAATGTGTGAGGAAACCGAAACGAGGTTGTCGAGCTCGGCTGAACACCCTTAAATCCTGAAGCCTTTAGACGGTTTCGGCTGCGCCAGTTATGACCTCAAGGCTTTTGCAGACTTGGGGATGGCTTCAATGTCGTCCATCTGACGCCCTCCACCCTCAGCAGCTCTTCCCGACCTTACAGTCTGACGTCAACCCACCTCACCATCCCAACCATTATTTCCTAACAAACTTCAAACTTCAAACCCAAGGTTCACCCACCAGCTCGCCATTCCCATCATTCCCATGCTTGCTCACCACCCGCCATTTTCCACCATTTCCCACCAATCCTTACCATTCCCACCATACCCCGCCATGATTCCCACCCCAGTCGAAGTTAGGAGCAAGCACCTGAAAATGTACATCATGGCGGGCAGCTAAACAAGAAGCAGGTGCAACATGACTCCTCATGGCAGGACTTGAGCTTAGAGGACATTCTGGTGGGCGCAACCTACCGCGCCCAGGACCCGATTCGGTGTTCGTGTTCAGGCAATCAGTGAGACCAGAGTATAGGGTTTAGGGTTTAGGGTGCAGAGGTTGTGACTTTGTCTTGGGGATTGCTGTGGTGTGGGGTGACGCGCTACATCTCATCATTCGGGCGCAACAAGACATTGTGGCAGTTCCAGAAATCTTTCACACCAAATAGGCTAGTTGACATGGGCTTGGGCATCTTGCAGCCTACTGTAGCAGCATTTTGTGAACAACAGCGAGAATAAGAGATCAATCTGAGTTCAAAGTTGTTTTGGGGTGGTGCGGATTTTCAGCGCTTCCATCCTTCGGGCGTTCCGGCATCTTTCTTGTAGCAAGTCTCCCAGCTTTTGTCCATGCGGCTGCACACAACGCGCAGGAGTTGCGAAAACAGGGTGGCCTGCATGGTCTCATCATCGATCCGTACAACTGTATCGCCTCTTGGCAGAGCCTGTCTTCAGGGGCCCCATTCAAATTCTGCCGGGAGATTTGCCCTGAACCCATCCTCTCAAAGTTTCAACCGTAACAGGATGGGGCTTGAAAAGATGTCTTAAGAAGGATACACAACAATGGCAAACAACACAAAAGCAAGAGCAAGGAATGAGAGCCAAGCAACTAGAGCCCGATGTAACGTTGCAAGGGTTGAAGTACCCAGATGCCAAATAAATCAAAATAATGTGATCTTAGGGCTTATCATCCCAGAGTAGTTACATGGGCCCTGAATATGGTCCCTTACCTCCCTTAAAGGGTTCTGATGTATATACGGGCTTTTCAGGCATTGTGCAGCTCTTGCATGTGTCCCTTATTGGCAGAACGCGATGACAGCATGGCAAGGGTCGAGATCTGATTGAAAATAAAATGTACTCGCTGCGAAGTTGCCGCAAGGGCAACCACGACTTGTTGAGGTTTGGGAATCCTGACTAAAGGCTCCTCACTGAGCCTCTTTTGATTTGGAGGCACGGCCCGAAGGCGCAATTCCGGAGACGGAGGTGGTGAGCGCAATGATGTCAAAGCTTCAGCAGCCGCTTGGCTTGGGCTTGGGTGCTGTGATCCATGACACTTCCACGACCCCGACACCGGGTCCCAAGTTGTCATTTCTGCTCGCTTCCGGGGACTTTTTGTCTTGACTAGCAGCCTGGCATACTACAATGCCGAAAGACACAAAGTCATCGAGGCCAACCTTTGAACCTGACAAGATCGTAGCCGAGGGGCCTCTCACCTGGTATTTGCTCCAAAATGTCAAAGACAGGTGACTTAGGCCCCCAATACGCACGCGAAGCTGTTGACGATCCTTTTGCAGAAGCTGCCAGACATGTAATCCACACCAGGTGAACTAGCCATAAGCTCTAAGCCATCCTAAACCCAAGCCCCTACATGTTTGCATATGCACCCTGCAAGCCTAAGCCCCAGGCAACAAGCCCATCGTCCAAAACATGCGCCTTCCACATCAGGTTCGCCAAGCTGCACGCCACGCATGTATGGATCGTAGTCCACCCCACGAAGCAGTCGCAGCTCGCGGGAAACGAGCCGTCTATGTACGACTGCTCTGGCAGTGCACATTGGCCCCTGGGCGATTATAGTTTAGAGCTTTGCTCGGTGCCCATGCTGCAGGGTTTGTTGTGGCATGTGTGACCAACCCTGAACCATGAATGAAGCCATATCGATTGCGGCAGCATTTTGCTGCAGCTACCTGGTCACCCAAGACAGCGATGTCATGCTTGGAAGTGACGTCTTGCACTGAAGAAGCTGCGCCCGCTTTGACCTGAACCCACTGCTGTCAATCAACATAACACAGTGAGCGTTGGATGCGTCCGAAAGCTGCATGGAGCGAGGTCCATGAAAACTCTTAGCGCCAATTACATGCTTTATGAGTGCGAGGTGTTAGTGCGATATTCTTGGCGGCTGAAGCACTGCGTCAAGCCTATCAACCGAAAAAGTTGTTTTATGACGTGCTTCTAGCATGACCCAGACTCCAGCCCCCTGAGGTTCAACAAATGCGACAATGGCATCATTGTGCGCCGACCATATGCCAAGAGCTGGGCGCAGCAAAAGCAGGATGACAAAGCAAAGACAGGATGCTCCCGCCAGGCATGGTATGTCCAGCAAAGCCTCATGTAAGGGCCGTATGGGCTATCCAGCTTGCATCGCACCTCAAACGCTGCACCTAAGAGCTTGGCGTCGAAGCATGCCAGGTTGAGGGGTTGGGCTCAGCTTAGCCTCGCTCACCTTTGTCCAGTCGAGGGTTTAGGCACCTCATACTTGCAACACCTCCTGCTCGCCCCCCTTCCTCCTCCCCCAGTAGGGTAAGAATTGCCAGGACTCAGAGCGTGTCATCCAAGGGTTAAGAGGCTTCAGAGCTCAGGCGGCATAGCGTGGGGTGAGGTGTCTGTGCGTTTGGTCAGGCTACCGCCTTCCATGAATTGACGGAGCTTTTTCCCGTCGATCTTGGCCGTGCGCACATGCGACAATTCACAACAGTGGAGCAAAAACCCCATACTCATCATGCTACGAATGGGCATACGGTCAACGGACAGACGACATGACGAAAAATGCGGGCAGGGGGTCGAGGGGGTCAGGGATGCGCAACGTCTTCCCTCCGAACTGTTGACCCCCATCTCCGCAATGGAGCCCAACTTATCGCGCACCATCCTCAGAAGCTCTGAAGCGCGGGGGGCAGGTCAACCTGAAGGTGGACAAGGTGCGAAACTACTACGCCGGCAAACTTGGTGAAGCGAAGCTGCTGTTTAGCTCCCGCACCAGGGGCTTTGAAGAGGCCGCAGACATCGTGGTATAGCTGCCTTTAGTATAGCTTCTACAACAAGTGCATGTTGCTTTCGGAAGGCTCTAGAAATCTGGATGACTGGGCGGTCTGCGGAGAAGAGTTCATAGGTTTTTCTTTTCGGGGCGGCTGTTTGACCTGGGACTGTCGATCCGCTTGACTGATGTATGATACCCAGAAGGTGTTTTTCTCCTTCTTGCGCAGGCCGTGAACCTTATATCATGTGCTGCTTTCAAATAAAAGCGGACTGTGAGTCCCAGGTCAGGAGCTAACAGGCTTGTGGCTTCGAGCTGGTTTTATACGGACATTTCAACTGAACTCTCACATGTGACGCATCTGGAAGCCTTCATGCCGACTGGGCTCTGCATCTGGCATATGGAGGACCTTCACACAGGTCGGGAGCTTCCTGAAGTCTACTTTAGGCTGAACCCGAAGCAGCAACTGCAACAACAGACCATTCATTCTACACAAAACTCGGTACCCCCACTCTAGCAGTTTTGCAAGTCGTATTGTTTGTGGGCCTGTGAGAAGCAGTCTCAAGACAAGGACTTTGTCAGGCGACTCCATATGAAGTGCAACTTTGGGGTGCACGTCCCTCGCAGCGCGAGCTTGGGGGTGGGAAACAAACGCTCACTTCGCTGCTCATGTGTGCTGTAACATTCACAGGTGTATGTAAAGAGCTTTGCCATTGCGATGCCCAGGGTCGGGATAGGAATGCCTTTAAGCTTCAAGGTGATGTGCAACTGGGGCCTTTGGTATTCAGTGAGGGCCACAGGATGAACATTTGCCCCAGCCCCACCCACTCATGTACATGAAAGTTTCTGGTCCTGACCGATTGCGGCTTGAGCTCCAATGTGCCCTTGGAGGGTTTATTTTCTTGAAGTGGCTGCCGTCATGGAAGGTATGCGGATGAAGAGCAGCAAAACATCAACGACATCCCTCTGATGCGCAATGAGGTAGAGCTGCGTGAAACCTAATTTGACTGGCTGCCTCACGTCAATGCAACTACCGGCTTATCTCGGCCATGACATTAAGGCTTCATGGCATGGCGATTGCCGCAATACTGTTTCGGAGCTCTGGCCAGTTGTCGAGGTGCATCTGTATGTACGCTAGTATTCCCCGATCCAAATCCCTGCTTCGAAAGAGGGATCTTACAAGGGGAGAGTGAGTGTGTCGTTGAAACACCGCTAGGGTCGGCAAAAACTACATGTTCTCCAAACATCAGGCAAGGAGAACTCGAGCCGGCCGACAAGTATCGTGTTTTTCGAGTTGTTTCGCTCCATGCTTGCAAAACTCTGCCAGGCTCGAGCACCAATTCACCAAACTTGCGCCGTTTCGAAGTTGGAAATGCACTAATGTTTACGGACAGTTAGTTCCAGATACTTCGCCGCAAGCTTCTGTCACGGGACTCTCAGCGGAATTCTGTCGGGGTGGGCACTCTCGAGGGTTTTTTTCCGTTGATGCTCGGTGAGACAGGCCTCACAAATGCCACAATATGGCCGTTATTGGGAACATCCCTGGCCGGCTCGGATTTTCCTAACACAGTTGCAAGCAGCAGCCTTCACGGAAACTCGAGCAGGCTCGAAAAGTCCAAAACCGCAAGATACTGGGATCTATGGGCTAGATGCCAGAGTTTGGGATATTTGTTTTGGAAAATCCTTGCCGCTCCAGTTTTCGGGAGCTGGCGCTTCAACGTTTGGAAAGTTCAAGCCAGCCTGAAAAGTCCAAAATGATTTCGTGACCTGGTGCGTCAAGACTTTTTGACAAGCCTGCTTTTGAGTTGTCAAAACCACCGAGACTTTGGGAGTTATAATCCCTCCCCCCCCCCAGGCTCCATAGATGCAAAAACGTAGGATTTCGTGACCTGGTGCTTCCAGAATTTGGGGATGTTCGAGCCGGTTTGAGCTGTAGAAGAATTTTCCTAGGTACCAGAATTTAGGTTTCATGGGTAAAGTTAACTTGCTCGAGTTTTCTTGACTTGGTGCTTCGAGATATTCTTGATAAACTTTAAGAATTCGAGTCGGCTCGAATGTGGTAGGGGCGAACAAAGCATCGCAAGGGTAGGGCAAAAAGAAGTTGGGAGGGCAAATGCAGGGAAAGTACATGGAGAAAGGGTCTTTGCGAGGAACCTTGCGGGCTGCTTATAAGTAGGCTTGGAGCTTAGGGCTTAGGCAGGTTGAGCCGTGTTCTCGACGCCGATATTCCAAGACCTTTAACGTTTCCTTGCTTTCTGAGACCAATGCATGCAAGTGCATAGTGAAGTGTGTGCTGTGCCGTAGGCGTTGGGGTTGGGTCTTTGGCTCTAGAAGCGGTCTCCTAAGTTTATGGTTTAACAAGTCCTGCCTCAGGAAGAACCCTAAGGTTTAGGGCCATTGCAGCCGTAGACCTCAACCCTGTGGTTTTGAGTTTGGGATTCAGGCGATGCCCACCAGCAACCCCACGTCTAGTTCAACTCGCAAGCCCTGAAGCCTACTCCAGAAGGCTCGGGTAGCTGTGAGCAGGTTAACTCTAGTTTAAGTGGTTCTTAAACTCATGAGAGATACTTTCAAGCATACCGATCGCTTCCAAGACTCTCAGGGTGGTTTGTTTTGGGAATGGGGACCTGATTTATGGCATCTGTCCTGTACTGGATCATGTGATCCTACGTCCCGGTTGAGCTCATGCTAACGGACTTCTTGTCACTCCATTTGAAATTTGGTTCCCTTCAATTTGGACGCTTAACTTGTTTTCATTGCTTGTTGAGTGTGTGAAGAAGAGATTTGAATACTGAACGACTGAATTACTATTCCCGCCCCGTATGGTAGTTCAAGTAGTGAAATTAATGGAATTGGCACAATCAGTCTGAACTCTATGAATTTATTTTGACAAATTGCTATTTGGCATGTTTTTTATCCTTGCCTTTGGTTTCAGCATTTGATGAACTTCATTGTCGCTCGCGCTTCCGGGGGAGTTGATGATTTGTTTACAGTAAGTGACTTCCGACACCTATTACCCTCTTCCCCCCCCCCCCCCCCCCCATTGTTCCCCTCCCCCCCCCCATTGTTGTATCAACAAACGAAATCAGGTATTGTAAGCCAGTATGCTTAATGCTATTCGCCACCCCGCTTGTAGTTAGTTAAGAACTTAACCTTAACTAATCACATGAATAGAAGCCAGGCAGTTCTCGGATGAATAGAAGCACGGCTAGTTCTCAGAAGGGGTGGCCGAATATCGTGTATGGCATTATTGACGAATCAAGTTGTTATTCGGGCTCCCTCATGATCTGTTTGTTTTGCTGTTGTCAGACTTACTTCTACTAGGATTTCATGACGATTCAGGCGCTGCTATGTTGTTCTTCTAGCAGTTCTTAATATTCGCAATGAGTAAGGGAGCACAAGCAACGATATCATGAATGTAAATAATGGTCCCCCGTGTGCCCTGAAAGTTTGCTTAAGTGAAATATGGTTGATTATTTCGATTGGCGTATTTCAATTCAAGGCCCTCACGAGTTGATACTTAAGCTGGTTTAATTTTGAATGGACGTAATTCGATTCGATTTACGCCTATCTACATAAATTACAATTTTGGCTCACTTCAGAACTGACAACTTTAAAACAGTTGAATAACGGGTATGTTCCATAAAAGCTGATACTTTCATGACATTAAGTACGACATACAACAAGCAGGAAGATGACCTTAACTATCAAGCTTATGCTTTCATGCAATTAGAAACGACATACAACAGGCAGGAAGATGACTTTATGGCTAGAAAGATGATAAGCTATCGCAAATACCAGTGTCTTCATTACGTAGACGAAATGTCGGTGTACGTACGTATGGTTGTGCAAAGGCAAGCGCAGAAACCAGAGCGTCTTTGACAGCACAAGCCATCAGGGTTGACGTTGGCGCCAGTCCGTGCAACAGGTCAGTTTTTTAGCAGCCTTTGTGGCAACCCTGGCAAGTGGTGTGGCTTGGTCCTTCTTGCGTTGCATCCGAAGTGCAGTACAAAGGAGCGAGCATCACAATTCTGGATTGAAGGTGAACTGTGTAAGCTTGTGCTGCTTAAGACTTGAGCTTAAGGCCTGAGGCTGGGGTCCTAGCAAACCCTAAAATCCGAAAAGGAATTGGGTAGGAAGATGAGGGACAAACCTTCAACATGACATACTACACAGCAAGCCCTAAATTTGGGCCCAAAACCCGAAGTAACAGATCCTCACCCTAGTATATGGTATAGTATATGGTATAAAGCGAGCACAAAGCTCCCCCATGAGAAGCCCGGACCTCCTAAGTGGTGAGCACCCGAAGTGGCCCTAACCCTTGCCTTGAAAGACTGTGAAACATGCGAACCTCGGCCTTCCCCGGAAAGCACCAAGCCATTTCACGGGCATCAATGAAGGGCATGTCGGCTGAGAAACTTGATCACGGGAGCCACCCCCACTCACCAAACTATTCCGAAACGAAAGTCCCGCCGAATATCCCTGCAGATGCCAATGCCGATGATCCCTACGGCGTCCATGAAAGTGCTTAGCGTTTAGGATGGTGATGTTCGAAGTAAACGAGTTCAAGTTTGCAAGTCGCAAGCTGCCATCGTGAAGCCAGAGTTGTCACGCATTGCAAGACTCCGACAACGCTGTGACGAGTTGGCCCGCCACCTTTGTCATCAGGTGCCCGTTCGCCTTATTTTGTGCAAGTTGCGGGGAACTGGATAGGGGGAAACAGAAGGAGCAGGAGCGGCATCTGCAATATCGTTTCATTTGCAGCAAGGGTTCTCAGAGCCAACTTCGAGCAGCGGAATTCGAGAAATGAGATTTTTGGGACTGCTACCTCCATGTTCTCCGAGTCTCCGAGCCCAAGGCCACCGAAAGCCCAAACCCAAGAGCCATCCACAGATCGTTGAGAAGTGCAGCCCCTTGCCGCCGAATGCGCTTCCTTGGCAAATGCGAGCCTGCTGGTCGGAAAACAGTGCGTTTGCATGTTGGAGCTTAGCCTGCCCCCTGAAAATCGATTTCCTGGCTCTCCTACACCCTACAACCCCTTTTGGCTTTTTGGGACTTGGGGTTGCAACCCTTGTGCAACCAGAGCTTGGGGCCCCTGAGGCCTCGCCTTGATCTCTTGTTACTCGAGCTGAGGATTGGCGCACTCTGCACCTGTAAGTACAAGTCGTGGAAATGTAGATGCATGGTACTTATGTTGGGGGCTTCATTGCAGCCTTGGGCGTGCGGGCTTGAATATCGGGCAATGCGGCTTGCTGCGGCTTGCCTCCAGATTCTTTGGTTGAGCGTTATGGCTCCGGCTGCAGGAATGGAAGCATTAGCGGCTGCATGCGGAACATATCCAGCGAGTTTTCCCGTACTTCACGACGATGTACGTTTAACAGTTCATTCCCACTGCAAAAAAGAGCCTGAGATACATTCACTGCACTACGTCACCAGCCTGCCTCGCCAAAGCAGCACCAGTCAAACCGCCTCTGGCCGCTTGGATCTGAGCAGAAATGTGCCCCAAACAGACCAAAAGGAGCCGGATAGAACATGTAGGGCTCCGAGAAGTGATGTCTGCGTGATGGCTCGGTGTTTTCCAAGCACCCTCCATGACTGCTGCAGCTTAACATCAAGCACTCGGTGTTGGCGCATACCTGTAGAGAAAATCCCTCTCTCGATTCGAGCCGAGGTGCCACAGGAGCCATGGCAGAGAAGGAGAATGAGCCCAAGGTAGAGAAGGCCTCTCTCGCTTTACTCAGCGGAGCATTGTGTGAAGCCTGCCCCGCATCTGCATCGATCTGACTTTGCCACGCTGGCCTGGCACGAAGGTGTGCAGGTTCAGCCGTATGAATCAGGAACAGTTGTGTGCCGGCCAAGAGAACCTTACCTTCCTATTCAGGCCAATGGGAACCCATGTGAGCGCTCGAGCTCGTTGCTTCCGCAAGACTAGCAAACACGGGGAGCTAGCTGAAGCCCTTCAAGGCTGCAGGGGCCCAAAATCAGATGTCAGGCCGTTTTGACTTTCCAGCTTCAGTGTCAGGCGGAGCCTGAGAAGGCGCCAGAGAAGGCGCCAGTCGGGGAGGGGAGGGGAGCCGGAGGGGGCTTAGGGCTTAAGGGGCTTCTTTCTAGATCTCGAGTCAAACTGAGTAGCTTGAGAGGAATCCTTGGTCGTGGGAATAAGCTTCCAGGTGCAAGGGCATTGCAGGGCATTGAAGGGCATCTTTGACTCTGTGCGGTTTAAGTTTCTCTCATTGCATACTCAGAGTATGCTCAAGCGAGCAAAACGCTGTCTTCCCGCACCGCAAGGTTGAGGACAAGAAGAAGAAGGACCGGAAGCCCCACCTGATGGCAGCTGCCCCCCGACCGGTGTGGCTTTGAGAGTTGTGAGAGTCAGGGAATACAAGGCCAGGTCTGGCTTCTCCGGCTTTGAGGGGCTTAGGGTTTCGGGTTTGGGGTTTGAAGGCTGTGTTGGTTTGGGCTTCGGAATCTTAGAGCCACGAAAATGCATGGTGTTGTGAACGGCTCTGGCCAACCAGCTTCGACTGAAGTGATTACAGCGGCAGCAAGGGAATCTGCATTCTTGAAAAACTCGAGCCTCGAGTGCGCAAATTGATCGACCGTCTCGACTGTCTGGCCTTGACCCTTTGCATACGGGGCCAAACAGCTTGTCAATCAAGAGTGTCAAGTCAACCTTTTTCCGATGTTCTAGACCCGGCTTCAAGAACCCACGCCCTTTGTGCCCGGTCAGGGCCAGATTGTGCAACGTGGGGCAATGTAGGGGCGAGTAACCGTTCTTGCTCCGATTTTTTAGGTGAAACTGATGGCTTCAAATTGTCCTGGGAAAGCAAGCTTAAAGACTGCGTTTTGCGAGAGCAAACGGGAAAGCATGCACCCAAAAACATTCAAGTAGATGCAAAGCTCTTCAAGGTTGAGGAGGCCTTCAAGAAGTGGGATATCACCGGCGACGGTGGCCCGCAAGCATTGCACTTTCAGCTTCAGAAGGTGACTTCAACATGTCTGTCTTGATTTGTGTAGGGATGCCCCACGATTTCTCCTGGCTTCGTTGCTGGCGATTGGCTTCTTCCACTTCAGGCTAGATGGAACTTCGGCCACTGAGTCATCATGTTCTGAACGTTCTTCACCCCCCCGCGCTTGCCACCTTGCCATTCTAAGACACCCTGCTCCTGTTCTTGCTTGGATAGACACCCCAGCATGCAGCGTGGAGAAGACTTTATCAGATGCTCAGAGACTTTTGGTCATGTGCGTGCTAATGCTCTTTGCTTGGCATGTTTCGTACGTTTATCAAAGGGTTCACTTGAACCTGCTTTCGTGCTTGTGCTCGTGGCAAGTTGCCAGGGTGCTCTTCCTTTGGCTAGGGTGTGCTGTAGATCTCTTCCCAAGTCTGCTCAAGGCCTCGACTCTGGAGATTCACAGCAGACCTTCCGTGTCGCCAAGGCGCCATCAGTCGTTACGAGCTCCATGCGGCGTTGACACAGCTGGGCATGGACGAAGCGCAGGCGCCTTCCTAAAGCCGGTGGGGCATCACTGGCTCCCGCCCTTGGCCCTTGACGCGGTTTATTTGTTTCTCTTCCCCCTACTCGCCTTGTGATGCCCTGCAGGATTCGCGTTGGGGGGGGGGGGGGGGGGCACTCCAGCAAGGGCCACTCCGTGGGCACTCCAAGGACTCTTTGCACTCTTCTTGGCGGCATTCTACTCTGTGAGTTTCTCTGAGGTTGCCTTGCTGTGGGCAGCACTCCATGCACTCTGCAGGATTCTCTGAACCCCTCAAGGGTACTCCGAAGGATTTTGGGATAGACATTGCAGGATCTCTGCGGGATAGATATACCGTGCGGGAAAACTGCTGGATTCTCTGGGTGCGGGCATCGCCGGTATACTGGCGAGGAGAATAGTTGAGTGGCAAACATATATACATGCCGACTTGTACTTAGGTGCACGTGCATGTTCTCACTATATTGCTCTTTCTATTGCTCTTTCTTACGTTCCAAAATTTGTACAGCACCTTCTTTTGGTACTTGGAAAAGACAGACACGTGACATGTGATTGCCCGGCTCTTGATCTTATTTGTCTCGTTTCAATCTGCTCTGAACGGCGATGGCTTTTTAGTCATGCTGGTTTGTGTGGGCACTATACAGGCTACAGCTCAGCATATGGCTTTCTTGTTCTGCACCACTCGCTCGGATGGCTACTCAGTTCAGAAGCTGAAGGCGTGCACGCGTAAATGGTTGTCCGTGGCCTGAGGCCCGCGTCGTTTAGCCGTGTAGCATTGCGTAGACGTGGTTGATTCAGCCGTTCTCCTTCACCGCATGGAAGATGGTCTTGAGAATAGACGATGCTTCGGTTGTCGTTTCCTGTCACATCTGCCGAGGCTGTATTGCATGCCTGGCACAGCCAGTAGCGCCCCATATTGTGCCAAGGTGGCAAAATGCTTCAACTCGGCAGACATTAGCATCTTGGTAGCAGCTTGCACCCAGGAGGTGCATGATGCACGCCACGAGGTCTTGCACACATAGTCATCATTGAGAGCTGCAAAGTGTGCTGCCTGTGGGCATCCTGCTTTGCGCAAGTGCAGTGTGAAGCGAGTGCAGCTACACACCTGACACAGTGGTTGTTTGATCCCTCTGGTCCAATTGTCTTTGCCGCTGTTCATGTGGAGGCAAGGACGGGATGCTCCAGTATGATGAGTTTCTGGAGTGGGTCTTTAAGGACCCCACTGTCGCAACTTGGCAGTGCTGCAGACAGCCGACATTGGGGGAACCAGCGTCCGCAGGGCACAGGGCCAGGTTGGGCATGTGAAACCAGGGACGCCCATCAGATTGCTGTCGACTGCTATTGCTTTGCAACACGCAACCTTTCGAGAATAAGTTTCAGGGGCTGCTTTAGGGAACTTTAGGGCCTTGAGAGGCAAGTCACACACTTATTCAGATCTACCAACAACAAGAGCAGCATCATGGGCAAGTGTGGCTACCCTAGGGGCCCACAGGTTTATACAGCGGTACTGACAAGCTTGAGCAGAATCATTGCATGCTGCAGTAGCGCGAGTTGTTCTCTAACAACTAAGCTGTTGTGATGGACATGTTCGCTCAGGTATGCGCATACAGCCTGAAGACAGCGCGCCTCGGTGGCGACAAAGGTTGTAGCTTCGGATACAGCCTTGATGTAGCACCATCTTCACCGCCCCGTGGCGATGCGGTTTTGGCATTGGTCGGCTATCCACATGGAGAAGAAGTGTAACAACTCCAGCGGGCAGGCCGTATGCAGCCTGCTGGGCTACGCATTTCAATAAACAAATTTAAATTGTGATTCCTGTAAACCAAAATCATCCCATGAGAGCTGGGAGGTGCCGAATTGCTTCCCTGTGATATATAAAAAGAACCCCCCACCCAACCCCGCAAAGCAAAATCAGGGTTGTTGCCCCGCAATGGCGAGAAAGAAATTTTGAAATTAGTGGAGGGACGTCTTTCATGGTGGGAAACATAAACAGATTTTGGGGGGAGCACCCCCGGCCCAAATGTAAAACGGGGAGTTTTGTGGACCGTACCGAACGTTCTACATAAGCTGGCTTCCAATGGTGAGGAGTCGGTGAAGTCGGGGCCGCTTGTGCTGAATACTGTTCGCACGCTGCTATAGCACCAGTACTGCTGCCTTGACCAGCGTAGGTGGTCGTCCCTGGTCTGCGAACATGAACATGCTCTCTACCTATGGAACTTCTTAACAAAACTTTGACAGCGGTAGAGCTTGCAAGTCCTGCTAAGCCTGCCACAGGAAGGAAGGCCTTCATGTATGCACGCCAGAGGCGTGTCAGGACCGGGTTCTTGCTCAAGCCGTGAAGAGTTTGTGTAGGGTTTAGGGCCCCACAGCCTAGGTTTCTTCAGCTGTGCTATTTTTGCCACTTGCTCTCGCTTGCACGATTGCCTTCGCTCGCGGACGCGAAGCCGTTGAAATTACTAGGCTTTGGCACTTGTACGTGTCAGGCTCCTCCGCGCGTGCCGCTTTCCTGCCCGTGCTGTTTACCCCCTACCTCGTGCTAGACATGGCCATTGGATTAACTAGTTTTGGTTTGCGCAAGACAGTTCGGCCAGCCCTGCCCATTCATTGCTTGTGTTTTGTTGTTTTGCTGTTTTCGCATTTCGGCTGCGCCATGCATGTTCGCTCGCAGACAACAGCGGCAGCCACTCTTCATCCTAAACAAGCACGGCCTGTTGGTCGGCCGTGCTCTTCACTTCCCCCAGAGGTTTGTGTGTTCATAGTGGTAGAAACGTATGTTGTCTCTCGTAGCCGGATTGCGTGCAGGAGATTTGGAAGGTTACAGAGCCTTTCGAAGACATGGATAAGGCGACTTGGCAGACTGTTGATGCAAAATGTGTCCGGAGCTTGATCGGCAACCGCGAACGAGCTGGAAGCTAGGAACCATGCCAACTTGAAGCCTAAAAAAAGAGGGCCAAGCAGTTTGGGCTCCGAAGTCCGCACCTCACTGCCACGATGCAACGAAACTGTGAGGTTTTCTTTGCTGCCATGGTGATCCTCGGAGAGGATCGAGATTTAAGTTGGAACGGCGTCCGGGCGTGGGCTGGCCGCACTTTAGGCTTTTTGGGGTTATTGTGGACAGTTTCCCGGCTTCTAAGGGTGCCAAGGGGTGTTGTTGGCGTTCAATCCGGCTTCGGGGTTCATTGTCTAGCAAATGACGCAGGTCGGGCATGCACCCCCAAAAAACTTGGAGGAAAGGGTGGAGACTTTTGGGGGCCTTGGACGTCGGGATATGACTATACAGCCCAGGGCTCACGAGTCCCCATCTCAGGTTGATGAAGAAGCCAGGCGTTTTCCTGGACAAGCTCCACACCTATGACACGTCCCACGTGACCGAGGTAGGTGAGTGGGCTCCTGGATCGTCTTGCTTGGGGCGTCTCTGAGTTCGAGGTCTTTTGATGCGGTTGAGGAAGGTTGCAGCTGCCCTGTTTCAGTGCCGTCCAGTATGTCCGTTTTCCTTGCCGCCGACCTCTTGAGCAACCCAAGGGGACTTGGCAGCTCCTACGAGAAAAACGGGTTATTGAGCAAGGCACTGCTTCTTTTGCTGCTCCTCAGCTCCGAATTGTCAGGCCCGGGATTTCAAAGCAAACATCTACGACAAACCCCCCCCATGGTAGGGGGCCCTACATGACATGCCCCTGGCTTGCAGACCACCCTGCGCAAGCTCAAGTTCTTCACCTCAAAGGACGACGTGGTGGGTTTGGCTGTGTCGAGTAACGTTCTTCGAGCACATGTGTGGAAAGCTTTGCCGGGTCTTGTGGTACACGTCATGCGCAGGCTTAAGAAGCTTCAGCTCTAAGCGTCCTGCCAAATCCTGTATGGTCACGCAGGTTTCAGGACTGTCCGGACATCGCTTGAATGCGAGCATGTGACATGAGTACTAAGAAAAGGCAGTGTTCTCGCAGTCTTGGGGCCTGGGGGTCTGATCTTTCCGTGCACCGTCGAACAGCCCCCCATCTGCTGAGCTCCCTGGCCTTGACTTCCCCCAGCTGCTTCAGGCCAAAATTTCTGGGTGCCCTAAGCACCCTTAATCGCTTACATCGCTTACACTTCAACTCGCTCAAACTGCCCACAGGCAATTGAGAGGGAGGGAAAGTGGGTTGCGCGGTACCTCCATTTTGCAATGGCAGGTCGTTGCAACGCACAAGGCGTAGCAGTCTTTCAGTCGTCATCTACATGTCTCAGAATACCAATTCTGATGACCTCAGCCACATAACGGATCCTAAGTTCGTCCACTTCCATAGATGTGGTGGAGTGGAAGAGGATGGAGATGAAGTCAGGCGTTCGGCGTGTGACAAACTGGGATAGGCCAGAAGCCCCAAACAGGTCACAGGTGCCCGGACAAGCTTGCAAACAGTGTTGCAACGTAGCTTCTACGGCCTGACAGAAGGGACACGGCTTCAGCAAAAGCGTATCTTCGTGTCCTGGAGTCGCCAGCAACAGGCGAAGCGGCCACAGTCCCGTCAACCGAGTAAAGCTCCACAGCTCAACAGAATCCCACAGCTTATCAGGGACACATCCCAACAATACATCCCACCCTTGGCAAGCGCGAACTGGGCAAAGGTCTATGTACCTCAGGTTAAGACCTGCCAAAACCTTAGTGGCGGAAGCTGCGAATTCCGTCAGGTCCAAGGCACTAAGGCGAGGAGTCAACACTAAACGCTTGTAACGCTGCAGCAAAGTTTTCCGTAAGGCCTTACAGGATCTGGCCAGTTCCATTTCTTCCAGCGTGCAAACACCAGAGTCCTGCAGAGGCGGAATTCCTCCGCACTGCTCCAGAAGGTCACGAGTCATGTGCAACCAAGTACCATTGTGAATGGGTTCGGCCATAGTCACCATACGATACACTGGGTGATCTTGTGGTAGAATGCTGATTTTGGCCAAATAAGCCAAAGCTCGTAATTTGGCCTTAGTGCCCAACCTAAAATGCCAGCCAACAGTGGCCACTGCAAGAGGCCCGCGTATGGCAGACCCTGCTTTGCCTGCTAGAATTTGTTTCGCCCAGTCAGCCTGCAGCCTGTTCAGCTGTGAGTATGCGTTGGGGACCAAGGGCAGGAGCTCGGCGGCGTAGAGAATGACGGGTTCGACCCGTTCAGTGATGGCAACTGCCAAAACCGGGGGTGGAAAGCCTGCCTGCTTAGCCATGGTCATAAGCTCCTGGAAGAGAGCATTTCCCACTTTTAAGATATGGGCAAGGCGCATTTCCAAGGAAAGACCACGTTCAAGCTGGACCCCTAACAACTTATACGTTTCACACGCAATGTCAACCAAGGGGACGTCAGGAGCGTCATAGCAGGGCATGATGGCAGTCTTTGACGGTCCCATATTAAACTTGGCACGAACAGTGTGTGCAAACAAGTCCAAACCCTCAGTTGCCGCCTTGCAGACCTCGGTGCAAGAAGGAAACGGTGCAACCACATCGTCTATAAAGAGGAGAGGTCCCAGGGGCGAGTGGCCCAAGTTCTCCAGGATCTGCACTCTTTCATCGATGGAATTTAACCGGCCAAGATCATGGATGGCCACTCGCCGAATCAGGCGTTGATCCCAACCCTGCAACATCAGCCTTTGAAGTCTAGCTACAATGGCTGGCCCTTCGTTTAATGGTTCAAGGCGACAGAGTTCTGGGACAGGCGTGAGAGTCGTCCACAACCCTGCAATAGCATCGGCTGCAAAACTAGGCAGGACCGAATTGGAGGGTTGGCAAACAGAAGAAAGAATTTGCTGAAGGAGCTTCATGAAAGCCGTGAAGATGTGAACAGCAAAGCGCTTGCCTTGTGGAAGGCCCGCCCTGAAAGACATCGCATCTGATACTACCCCACCAAGGGAGAGGACAGCAGAGTCCATGTGAAGGAAGTCCCAGAGTAACAACCACTCTGTACCCACCACTCCTGCATGAAAAGCTGCGAGCAGCATTGCATTATGATCCGTAGCATCATAGGCGGATTGTATGTCTGCAAAGAGCAGATATGTATGGAGCCCTTGTGAGTGCCGGATTTGTGCGTGTAGTATTACCGCTAAAACGATTGCCACTGTCTCAAACTTGCCCCCCAGTTGCGCTGCGCCAGTGAAGTCCTCTAAGATCTTCTTGCAACGTCCGAGCCAGAGCCCATCTTGAACTGCAGCCATGTCTGAGACGACACTTATTGGTCTGAGATTAGTGACCTTTCGGACTACTCTAGGCCCAGCCTTGCGAATGGGCGTGATGCGTCTTTCACACCAAAGCGAGGAAGTTAACTCACACTCCCTAGCTAAGTTAACCAAAGCCAAATTGAGAGCCTTAGCTGGGGGACAGCTCGTCTTGGCAGCTGCCAGAGCGCATCGATAACTTTGTTTGCGCAGACGGAAAGACCGTTGCACTTCCTCAAGTTCTTGCCATGAATAAGGGGCTGCGTTGACTGCCGTGTTGCTTTCAGGGGCATCCGCAAGACCTGGAATGCCTCTCGGCACAGCTTTGTGCCTGTGAATGGTGCGAACACTCTGTTCAAGTGCACGCTCACATTCTGGATCCTGATAGAAATCATTGTCCGCTCTTCCCAGCAAATCATGCTGGATAGCAGAAATAGTTTGTTGCACCCCTGAAACTGCACCAGTGTTAGGCTCAGCCAAAGCATACCCAAAATCACGGTCCTTCTTGAACCATGAAGAAAGAAAGGCTTTCGCCTGATTAGGTTGAGATGTCAGGAGCGACAAATATCTGCTTACAGTGGCCGCCTTGGTTTGGTCATCAAATTGCTTCACAGCTGCCTTGTATTGGTCATAGTTCTGGAAGTCACAGACTTTAGGCACTCTCTGTGGCCACCGATTCTTTTGACCGGCGACTCCGCGAACACGGGTAAGTCCCCCGCAATGCCCTGTAAAACAAACCAAAACTTCCCTAATCCAAGCAGCGGCGTCAAGCAAATCCCGCTTACGCTTAGGCAACAAACAGTGCTTGTTTGCTGCAATCTCAACTTGCACGTCATTAGTAATCAAGGCAGCCAATGCAAATGAGGACTCTGCCGAAGCTAGCGCCTCATCCCACTCATTCGATTGGGACCAAATGACTCGCCCAACAGATGATTCAAAGGACGCCTGCAAGGATACGGGGCAGCGTGAGATAACCATGGAATGATCAGACGCTCCAATGTCCTCTTGGACTACATCAACTGGTAAGGGTTGGCACCTGTCAGTTAGGACGAGGTCGATAATCGTCCCACTGACATGCGTCGGGAAATGCGGGTTGCATGCTACCAGGTTACGGGATTCAATTTCCAGCTGTATGAGTTTGTCATTGAGCCTTTGGCAGCAATGTAGACAGCTGCATTCTGGTGAGTGGTGAACAAGACCTTGCAGATGAACGTTGCCATCACCTGCAATTACAATTCTGGATGAAGGGTATTTCGTCTTGATAATGTCGAATTCAGAAAGAATTTGCCGCCAAGTCTGTAAGTCACCCCCTGGTTTGGGATAGATGGCTCCCAGAATAAGAGCAGGACCCTGTCGCTGCCAACGTTGGCCACGGAACATCAGCCAGAGGATCACTGGGGAACCCATGTCTTCCATGACAGAAACTTCTAAACGCAGTTCTGACGCAACAAGTACACCCACTGCTTCCCATGAGGTAGTTTGCAGACCAAGCCACTCAAAAGGGAAGCCTGCAGGAATTTCCGCTCCGGGGGGCCACCTGGCCCCAGGAAGGATACAAACCTGTATGTTCTTGTCCACTAAAACGGAGCAAATGTGGAAGAGCCGCCATACGAGGAGTTCTTCACTAGCAATGCGGCTCAACCCCAAGCGCCCCGGATTTAGGACAGCAAAGGTGAGCTCAGAACATTGGAACCCTTCCTGCTTATGTTCATATTGGTCCACCAAGGTGCCTCCCATGTAGGGCGATTCAATTGCCACTCTGCTTGTGGTGCTGCGTGCAGCACTTGGAATGGCCACGTGCTTCAAGAAACCCTTTAACGCAGAAACAAATTCAGAAAGCTTTGCCAGTCTCAAAAAACGGGATTGTCCATTGGAGGCTAGGTTCCCAGGGTTTTGCGGGGCTAACTCAAAGAGCCCCCGAATATCTTTGAGGGCAGCGTTGACCTCCATTCTTTTCGGCACACTGGCCAGCCAGTCCGACCAGATATGGCGAAGCTCTTGGATACACAGTTGTATCGAATCGTCCATGGCTGCAATTAAGGCTGAAAGGTAAAAAAGCCCCGGGCGTAAAAAACCTCATGAAGGCGAGAGAAAAAAAAATGAGTGCAAGGCACAAATCTTCAATAACACCACTTCACGGGCAAAGTCTAGCGGTTGAAGAACCAGATCTAGGAACGGCTCGCTGCCAATTTCACATACCGCGTCCCATGGTACATTCATGTGGTGTTCCACATCGACAAATTAAGTATTCAAATTAGGTGCAAGCGGTCTCGAGTAGAAGTTGAAACGAGCCTCACGCTTCACTGGTGGGACTCATAAGCGTGGAAACAGGCCCAAAGAAGGGCAAAAGCTTTCTCAAAATGTCATGCGTGAAGCAAGACCTACGCCCCTTCAGCACCACTTGGACCAAGCGGCTGTGAACTTGCACTGTCAGCTTTACTGACGGCGAAAAAGTAATCGAAACACTGGGCTGACCTTTCTGTCCACCCACCTCTCCATAAGGCATTCTCGCATTCGGCTCGCCTTTCTTTAACACCTTAATTCCAGCAGCCTCAACTTTTGCATGGAGGGCTGCTGCTGAAACAATGGGAGGCATTGGGTGAAACGTGGCAGTGATATTTGAACGGTGATTTCCTCCTAGCTCCGCAAGCTTTGAGCAGACATTGTCTAACGCTTTCAAGATGGCCGAGTCTGTCTTCAAAACCTGGAGGTCATGGGCTAGCGACTCTTTCGCGCCGGAGTCCCAAACCTTTTGCGAGGTCTCTTCAACTGCACTTGGCTCTACACGAGGCTCAGCGTTGACGAGACTAGCCACAACCTCGGGGATTGTGACCTTGACATGCGCAAAGATTTCCTGCTTAAAGTCCTCAAGCTTTTTCGCTAGGAGCTCATGGATCGCATCGGGGAGTACATTCACGACACTTGACGCTTGAGTACAGGTTGCGTTCCTCAATCTCGGCAAAGGTGAACGGGACCTGCTACGTGAAGAAGAAGAATCTTCTGCAGTAGCTTCGTGGGGATGACATGGGTCAATCTCATAGGATTGCGGTGTGAAATGATCTCGGCCAACATGCTCAATCTCAAGTTGGTGTAAGAAGCACTCAACAGCAGCATTGACTCTGCAGATGGCTTCGCGATCCATGGATCTACCCTACCTTCCCACGAAAACGCCCAAAAACTACCGAAACAGGCCAAGAGCCTTCAATGTCACAAGCAACGCGGCTCATGATCTTTCAACAAGTTGCAAGCCCTCAAATGTACTTGCTGGTCGTCATGAGTCACTGCAAGCTTGGTTAAGGCGCAACTTCCATGATCTTTTTCGGTCATTGCAGAACCATACCCAAAACATTCTCTGAACACTCACAGGCACATGCATTCCTGCACGCGCATCCTACATCCATCCAAGGCTCAGGAGCACATTTTTGGAAGGTGCTTCCGAGAGGAATCTGCACAACAATCCCTTAAAAAAAAAGAAAAAAAAACAAACAAACAACCAACCACCAATGCCCCCACTTCCTAAACCCATCTAAGGCCCAAGGCTCAGGGGTGTCCTCAGTCAAGGTGGAAAAGAAAAAAAAAAAAAAAAAACGGGCGGCCGCAAACCAAGGCACATGCATGCATCATGCATTCCTGCACCCATTTCAGGCTCAGGAGCACATTTTTGGAAGGTGCTTCCGAGAGGAATCTGCACAACAATCCCTTAAAAAAAAAATCAACAAACAACCAACCACCAATCTCCCCACCTCCTAACCCATCTAAGGCTCAGGGGTCTCCTCAGTCAAGGTGTACGCGTGCGGTAGCACATCTCACACAACACACACCACACACAACCACGAACGCACACCACGAAAACAGCAAACAAAAAAAAAAACAACAACAACAACAAGCAACGTCCAATCCCCACACATCCTCGACCCATCCAAGGCTCAGGAGTGTCCTTAGTCAAGGCGCATGCGTGCAGCAGCCCAGTAAACAATCCAGACGTGCAAAAAGCAACGCGCCACAAGCACACAACCACGCACGCCCACGAAGCAACAGCGAACCACAGAAACACCGACGACAAGCATCCAACTCCCACATATCATCCAAGGCTCAGTAGTGTCCTTAGTCAAGGCGCATGCGTGCAGTAGGTCTGCACACAATACACGCGACGAAACAGCAACCAACGGACCAACTGACAACCAGCAACCAATCCCCACACATCCCAAACCCTTCCAAGGCTCGGGAGTGTCCTTAGCCTCGGCGCATACGTGCAGTAACTCAGCAAACAACCAAGACTCACAGCCACCAAAGCCACGCACGCACACGACGAAACATCGAACAACAGACCAACTGCCAACCAAAATCAAACCAGACACATCCCAAACCCCTCCAAGATTCAGGAGTGTCCTTAGTCAAGGCGCACGCGTGCGGTATAGTAAACAGCCACCCAAGACACAAAACCACGCATGCACGCTACGAAACATCGAACAGCTGACCAACCGACAACCAACAAACAAACCCAACACATCCCAACCCCCGCCAAGATTCAGGGGTGTCCTTAGTCAAGGCGCATGCGTGAAGTACAGTTAAACAACCAAGACCCGAAAACAACAAACACACCACAGAAACGCGACCACGCATTGGCCCGGAAGAGAAAAAAAAAAAACGAACAACAAACCAACCGACCACCAACAACCAAACTTCGCGCATCCCAAACCATCCAAGGCTCAGGAGTGTCCTTAGTCAAGGCGCACACGTGCAGCACCACCAGAAGCAACCAAGACCCTCCATCAACAACAACACCCCACACACACACACAGTGGCAAAAAAAAAAAAAAGGGCGGCCCCAAACCAAGGCACATGCATGCATCATGCATTCCTGCACGCTCGTCCTAAATCCATTTCAGGCTCAGGAGCACATTTTTGGAAGGTGCTTCCGAGAGGAATCTGCACAGCCCCAAACCAAGGCACATGCATGCATCATGCATTCCTGCACGCTCGTCCTAAATCCATTTCAGGCTCAGGAGCACATTTTTGGAAGGTGCTTCCGAGAGGAATCTGCACAGCCCCAAACCAAGGCACATGCACGCATCATGCATTCCTGCACGCTCGTCCTAAATCCATTTCAGGCTCAGGAGCACATTTTTGGAAGGTGCTTCCGAGAGGAATCTGCACAACTAAAAAAAAAAAATCAACAAACAACCAACCACCAATCCCCCAACCTCCTAAACCCATCTAAGGCCCAAGGCTCAGGGGTGTCCTCAGTCAAGGTGGAAAAAAAAAAAAAACGGGCGGCCCTAAGCCAAGGCACATGTGCCCAGTAAACGCCCCTCTTAGAAAAAAAAAATCTGCCACCGTGTCAGGGCACAGGAACAAACGTCGACACAGGAGACACGCACAGACACACACTCTAAGGACCAAACAAAATTCTCAACCCCCCCACCCCGAAAGAAATCGTCACGCACATATGTCCTCGTCTCCCATGGCCATCAAACGGCTGCGAGATGCAGTGGGGCAACCATCAAGAAGGTAAATGACGCGCTGCAATCACCCTACATCGTGCTTTTCAAAAGAGCCCATGCCTATGGATGAACCAAATCTGCCATGATCTACCAAACTCCACTATGGTTCCCCTGATGACATCGGCATTTCAGTACCTGCCCCAAACAAACCTAACGAAGTCCAAACCCTAAACCCTTTTTGGAATGCAAGGTCGCCTCGAATCTCCTTGCACCAGCAGCAGACGTAACCCAGGATCCTGCCTCCGAAACCAAAGCCCTAACTTCAACCCTGGATCCGAAACCTTGCCGCCCCTCGGCCTTCAAGCCCAAGGGATGGGTTTAGGACTACACTTGAGGGTCAACTGGCGGGGTCCTTGCTCGCTGGGCAATTTGAGCTTGATCTCCCCCCGTGGGTGCTTACCTGAGCCCTTAAGCTGGGGCTTGGGAATTGGAAGGCCTGGAAGTCGGTTGTTGAGGCGACGGCCCATCAAGATATTGGGGGGGGGGGGGGGGGGGCGGGGAGGAACCTGGAAATTTGGGAACCTGGGGCCTGGGAACGTCTGAGTTCATTGGAGAGGCCTCTTCCGGGAATCCATAGCGCAACTTCGTTTTGGGGCATTGTTTTGGCGGCTGCGCAGTTGTCTTCAATGCCTTGATGTTTCTACGTTTAGTTTGGTTGTTGAATGGCGGGGGATGAAAATGAACAGGGGCGAGCCCCCCTGCTGGCATGCAGCCCGTACACCTGCCATGTACACGATCATAAGGTTGCAACTGTCACACGGTAGCGTTGACGTCCTGCCAACGGTCACGACTAGGTCTCACCATGCCATGGTCTACGCCCTCTGCTGCTGGGCACTTGCCTTACAATCAGCTTGAACATTGAAAGTAGTCGGGGTCACCACGCCGCAGTTGACGGGAACAGAGCAACTGTCACCTCAGAACCGTTCTTGGAACTGTTGCTCCATTCTTCGGACTTATTGGGGATATTTGGACTGCCTAGTTTCCGGAGTTGGAGGTCGGTTGGTTAATGGTTATCAGGGCATTATCCGATGTTGCAGATGTTACCGGAGAGCGTTTCCAGATTGCGGAACATGTCGGGTCACCTTGGATACTAGATTCACTAGACGACTTCTTCAAGGGCTTTGAGCCACAGTATTCTAAAGCACCCTGGGCTTCACCGACATTCGCTGAACTTTTGCCATGAAGCACCATGAATCAGGGTTTCCACTGCGCCGATTCCCCGAAGCTTGTCTTGGCAAACGGGGTCGTGGACAGCATCTGGTTTTGACATACTTCAGTTCCGCATGAATAACTTGGAATTCCCTGAGCAAGATTTTCACTGTATACTGCCACAAGTGGCCCGATGCTATTCGCACCTGGAGGATGCGATGATTAAGCAGGAACTAGTGGCTTGTAATCTTGAGTCAGGCCTTCCAGTCTGCGAAGCCACTAGATTGATGTTCATAGCTGCGCATAGACTTTAGCACGAGGACTGAATTTAAGGCGCGGATTCTGAAACCCAGACACGACGCCACAAAGATGCGCCCAACGTCGGCGGCAATGGCTTCTGACCTTGTAGGTGTTTAAGCGGAGCTTCTAAGGGGTTGAAGGGTCAAACTTCAGGGTGTTTTTCAGGCCAGATAGTCTGATAGTCTATCCATTCCTCGCTGCGGCAGAAAAAGGCTCGGAGCAAAATACCCGCAGCGTTCTGGGCGTTCTGTGAGATTTTGAGCATGACAGGCAACGCTACTTGGTTCTGGCACCTTTCATGTTTTGTAGTTCCTCAAGCTTTTCACCCTAAAAAGCCTGAGGCACTCGCCATCGCGTCAACGGAGCTGAAGAGCACCAAGAAGCACTGAATGGAAATGCGAGAGGCCAGGGTGGGACGCTCGAGTAGTGTCAGAGGCAGAATCTCAGAAGTGTTAAGCCTGCGAAATTTAGCTGAGGTTATGGTTTGGTTCTGCTGCTGTTGGTGCTGGTGTTGCTGCTGTTGTCGGGGCTGTCACTGTTGCTGTTGTGCTGAAAGCTGAGCTGTGTAGCTGAGGGTAGCTAAGCAACCTCCTTGTATTTCAAACTCGTACTGCCCGCTCTCTGCCCTGAGACTCTTTATTTGACAATTGTTTTTTCTTCCTCGGCCTCTTGTTGAACTGTTGGGCCTACACGCTCTCTAAAGCTTGTGTTCGTAGCCTCGGACCTGGAGCACTGTAGGGTGTAGGAGGGGGACCTCAACGCATGAACACTTTGTGTTTGGGGCGAGCCTCGGAAGGAAAAAGAGGGAGAGAACAGTTCGTGAGGTCCCCAAAGCAAAACCATCTCATTCCTCTCAGTACCTGGCATGGGAAGCCGTGCCTGACTTGTTTCTTTTTCAACGGCCCTCAAACAGATTTGACATTTCTCAGACGGAGTCAGGTTTCCGGTGCGCGAAGCCGGGACGCTGTCATTTTGCCACTGGTGGCCTGTCAGGCGGGGATGAACGCTTTCCATGCTGATAGACGCACACCCCATCGCGTGCCTTTTTTTCGTGCCGGTTGTTGAGAAGGCGTTGTCTTCATTACTCTAAAACAGCATCCGAGCCATGTTTGAACTTCCAGCTCAACTCCTTGCTGTGATGGCACCCTCCTCCTGCAAATCGCAGACACAGATGAGACCAACTCCACGC